CACACACACACACACACACACACACACACACACACACACATACAGTGTGGCTTGCACATCCTCACCAGCACAGTCCAAAGGCTGCAGAAGGAATCGTGGCAATGATGCCTTGCGGGTCCTGCAAGTCTAACTCCAGCAAATCCAGGCCGCTCCATTTTGGCTGCTTGTAGCCTGTTCCTGAGGATTCCAGCCCGGGAGTGCAGTGCAGTGCAGTTTTCAGGACATGAAATTTCTTAAAAGGCAGCCTTCATTTGGAAAAGCAATCACTTCTCTCCTTTTTCTATTTCTGCACAACCTGTGGCACAACCTTGAGAAACGCGGAAGCGTTTGCTGTTTCATGCATGACATGTGCATGCTTTGCACTGAAGATCCAGAGACCTGGATGAAATCATGCACTCATGAAGAAATCAATCAATGCTGCCCAGCACTCATTTAGGATGGCCTGGAACTTGCTGCACACAAGGTGGACTGAGGAACGAGTCCTGCAATGAAAGTAGGCATGGCTTTCAGCTCTACCATGACTCTGAGCACTGCAACCGTGTTGACAGCTTGCTTACCCTGACAGCTTGCCCGCCCTAACAGCTTGCCTGCCCTGTTGACAGCTTGCCTGCCCTGTTGACAGCTTGCCTGCCCCTTTGACATCTTATTTGCTCTGATTGAAGCTGTCACAGGTTGGAAGCCAGGACAATTTTAAGGCTCTAGGCAGTGTTCCACATTTCCTGCTGCAGCTGGGAAGTTTGAATCTCAGACACTGTGGCCTTGGAGGCAGCTGCACCTGCAAGCTGGCTGCATTTCTTGCAGCGTTTCAATCGTTCCCACAACAAGTTGCTTGCTTGCGCACAACAACTCTGACACCTTTTGCCGCTGCCATTCGACTGCGCCCCTTGTACAGGCTCGCAAACAGACCCCAGTCAGCTTTTCACATGCTTTTTTTTGCATGCATGCTCTGAGACCTGCTTCACCTGCAATCTGGCCGAGCCCCTTGTAGATGCTCCTGATCACCAACTGGCCAACACGAGGGCTATCTGCCGGTTGCTGCGAGAAGGGGTCTGAGGGCGCCAGTTCCACAATGCTACGGTAGCCAGAGGGCATGCTGCAAAAGTAGTAGGAGCAAAAGGACACAACTCATAATGCAGCTCTGTATGGAAGGGCGAACACATTGGTACAACCTGATGTTATGATGCAGCAAAAGCAGGAGTAACAGCTGGTCAGGTTGTCACAGTGCAGCGTCATGGGTTTCTGTTCATGCATACATGAGTGCAGGTATGTTGAGGTGTAGGGGAAGGCTTTGACAACTCGGCCAAGCTGGCGCTAGCTCGGCTGAGTGGTCCAAAGCGAAGGCTTCCCCTTATGC